ATCAGGGCCTCCTGCCAACAGCCAGCACCAACTTGCCCTCCATATGCCAGTGCGTGTGAGCAATTTCAGAAGCAGATCTTCCAGCCCTAGTGAAATCTTCGGATGATGACAATCCTTGCCCATATCTTGACAGCAGCCGCATGAGACCAGAGACTGAACCACCAGCCAGGCTGTTCCCAAATTCCCAACCTACACAAACTGTGTGAGATAATAAATGTTTTTTATTTATTTATTCCCAATGCAGTTGGGAATCTTGAATATGGATTGGATATTAAATTATATTAAGGGATAATTATTACTTAGGTGTGATTATGATATCGTGGTTATGTATGTGAATGTCCCTATTTTTAGGAAATGCATGCTGAATGTAACATAAATGTGCCCATTTTTAGGAAATACATGCTAAAATGTAACTTTCAAATAATTCAGCAAAATGAAAAATATAGGCACACACATAGAAACAAATATAAAGTATTATGGCAATATTAGAAATTATTAAACTTAAGTAGAGGGTGCACAGGTATTCTTTGAACTATTTTTTCAGCTTTTCTTTATGCTTGATATTTTTCATATTAAGAAATTGGAGATGAAAGAATTTATCCCAATTTCCGAGCTTCCCTCCACATTCTGACAATGATTCTCTTTCTCCCATAAATTTTCAATTTCTTCCCCTATGGCTCCTTCTCCTGGCAGCTCATAAAGTCCTAATACTTACATGAACAACTATAGGCTGATGACTCCAAAATCCATATTTCTCGCCCCTATCTCAGGCTTCAAACCCAATTCAATATGCCCGAAAATGAACTTGCCATCGTCCCTCCCAAATCTGCTCCTCCTCCCACGTCCAGCTCCCTAGTGAAGGGCTCCATCCTGTCACTCAGTGACCAGGCTAGTAACAAGGCGGCATCCTCGACACCGCCCTCTCCTTCATCCCCCAAAAACCAATTAGCCACCAAGTCCCTTTGGTTCTACCTTTTAAGTCTCTCTCAAACCTGTCGACTTCTCTCTGTCTCTGTGGCCAGAGCTCTCACTCAGGACACCAGCCTCTCTAGCCAGCAGTAACTAACCTACTAACTAGTCTCTTTGCCTCCAATCTTGCCTTCAGAATAAACTTTCTTTTTTTTTTTTTTTTTAAATATATGCTATATAGTAATGAAATTTAACCTTTAATAATTTTATTTATTTATTTATTTTTCCCCCAAAGCCCCAGCAGACAGTTGCATGTCACAGCTGCACATCCCTCCAGCTGCCGCACGCGGGACGCGGCCTCAGCATGGCCAGAGAAGCGGTGCGTCGGTGCGCGCCCGGGATCCGAACCCGGGCCGCTAGCAGCGGAGCGCGCGCACCCAACCACCAAGCCACGGGGCCAGCCCCAGAATAAACTTTCTAAAACATAATTATTATTGTGTCACTTCCCCACTTAAAAGGCTTCCAAATCTCCCCATGTTAGGATAAAGTGAACAGGTCATCCCTTTCTTCCTTTCCCGTTCCATAGTAAGTGTTCCAGGAACACCCCTCCCGCCACCCTTCTGTTTACCTGAACAACTTCCACTCCGCCTTCAGTTCTTAGCATAGACTTCACTTTCTCTCAGGAACCTTCCCTGACTCTCCAGAGTTAGGAGCCCTCCTACGTAGCCCCAAGGGCCCGGACCTTCTGCTCTCATCACACTTACCGCACAGCGTGATGTTTGTCTGTTTGCTGGTCTGTAGCCTCCAGTAGACTTTAAGGTCCAAGAGGACATTTCAAAAATACAGTACCAATATTCCTAGGAACAAGAAAATGATAGAGTAAGGACTTTAAAAATAGATATTTTTTATCAAGGTATAATTCACAGTGCGCATATCTGAAGAATGAAGTTTAATGAATTGTGATAAATGTATAAACCCACGTAATCACCACCGCAATCAGGATGTAGAGCACTTCCGTCACCCCAGACTGCTCCCTGTCCTCCTTCCCATAGATCCCCTCCCTACCCCCAAACAACCACTTTCCTGCTTTCTATCACCGTAGATTAGTTTTGTATATCTTAAACTTCATATAAATGAAATCCAATAGCAGGTATTTTTTTGTGACTTTTCTTTTTCTCCCCCAGCTTTATAAGGAATGATTGACAAATAAAAATTGTATATATTTAAGGTATACAACATGATGTTCTGGTATAAGTATACATTGTGAAGTGATTACCACAATCAAGCTAATTAACATACTCATCACCTCACACAGTTACCATTTTGTGTGTGTGTGTGTGATGAGAACACTTAAAATCTACTTTCTTAGCAAATTTCAAGTGTATAAAACATTGTTATTAGCTATTGTTGCCATGCTGTACATTAAGTCTCCAGAATTTATTCACCTTATAACTGAAGGTTTGTACCCTTTGACCAACATCTCCCTATTTCCCCCACCTCTCAGCCAATGGTAGCCACTACCGTACTCTTTGTTTCTATGAATTTGACATTCTTATGTTCCAAGTCTAAATGAGATCATGCAATATTTGTCTTTCTGTATCTGGCTTATTTCAATTAGGATAATGTCCTCCAGGTTCATCTATGTTGTGATAAATGGCAGGATTTCCTTCTTTTTAAAGGCTGAATAATATTTCATTATATATATAATTTTCTTTATCAATTTCTTTATCCATTCATCCACTGATGGACACTTAGGTTGTTTCTGTGTCTTGGCTATTGTGAATAATGTTGCTATGAACATGGGGGTGCAGATATCTCTTCAAGATAGTGATTTCATTTCCTTTAGCTATCTACTCAGAAGTGGGATTGCTGGATCATAAGGTAGTTCTATTTTTAATTTTATGAAGAACATCCATACTATTTTCTGTAATCACTGAACCAATTTACATTCCCATCAACAGTGTAGAAGGGTTCCCTTTTCTCTACCTCCTCAACAGCACTTACTATCTTTTGACTTTTTAATACTAACCATCCTACTAGGTATGAGGTGATAGCTCATGGTTTTAATTTGCATTTCCCTGATAATTAGTGATATTGAGCCTCTTTTCATATACCTGTTGGCCTGTTGGATGTCTTCTTTGGAAAAATGTCTATTCAGATCCTCTGCCCATTTTTTAATCAGGTTGTCTTTTTGCTATTGAATTTTATGAGTTTCTTATATATTTTGGATATTAACCTTTATTGGATATATGGTTTGCAAATACTTTCTCCCATTCTGTAGGCTGCCTTTTCCCTTTTTTTGATGGTTTCCTTTGCTGTGCAGAAGCTTTTTAGTTTGATGTAGTCCCACTTGTTTATTTTTGCTTCTGTTGCCTGTGCTTTTGGCGTCATCTCCAAAAAAATCACTGCCAAGACCAATGTCAAGGACCTTACCCCTATGTTTTCTTCTAGAAGTTTTACTATCTCAGGTCTTACATTCAAATCTTTAATTCATTTCGGGTTGATTTTTGTGTACGTTGTAAGGTAAGGGTCCAGTTTCCTTCTTTTGCATGTGGCTGACCAGTTTTCCCAACACCGTTTTTGAAGAAATATCCTTTCCCCATTGTATATTCTTGGTTCCTTTGTCATAAATTGATTAACCTTATACACATGGGTTTATTTCTGGGCCCTCTTTTTGTTCCATTGATCTATAGATCTATTTTTAATTTTATTTATTTATTTTTCCCTCAAAGCCCCAGTAGATAGTTGTATGTCATAGCTGCACATCCTTCTAGTTGCTGTATGTGGGACGCGGCCTCAGCATGGCCGGAGAAGCGGTGCGTCGGTGTGCGCCCGGGATCCGAACCCAGGCCACCAGCAGCGGAGTGCACGCACTTAACCACTAAGCCATGGGGCCGGCCCTATATATCTATTTTTATGCCAATTCCATACTGTTTTGATAACTATAGCTTTGTAATAAAGTTTGAAATCAGGAAGATATACTATTTTATAGTCGTCAGGTTGGCAAAAATTAAAAAGGCAGATAGTATTTAGGATTAAAAGCAATTGAACTTGTTATCTACTGCTGATGGGCATGTAGATTGTTACAATTACTTTGGAAAACAACTTAGTATTATCCAGTAAAATTGAAGATGTTCATACCTTATATCCCAGAAAGGGTACATAATGTTCTACTTGAAATTATTTTCTTTCAATGAATATAAATCCCTTCTCCATCATCTTTTTACTTTTACTTCAGTAAAATTTAGTAGAAATACAAGTAACTTTTAAAAGTGGGTTTTTAAAGAAAATACAGTATGCTTATGAGTTTCATGTCTGGGGTGACGCATCAGAGAAGAGAAATAGCATGCTCCATAGGGAGAAGATCCCTAACTCTGTGAATGGAATTATTCCAGTAGCAGGAGTTTGAAGCCAGAGGTGACAAGAGATTACAAGCCTTCTAAGAATTCACAGAAATCTTGGAGAGGGCTTGGAATTCTGCTGCAGATGGAAAGGGGGTTCCTGGGACAAACGACTGTGAGTGGACATATGGTTACACACATTGTAGGGAGGAAGAACTATTCCTCTACCCTCTGGATCCTTCTGGCTGCGTCAATTTAATCTAAGAATTAAATTGACATGAGACAGAATAACAGGAGAAAATCAAACAAAGTTTAATACCATGTATACATGGGAGAAATCCAGGAAAACTGAGTAACTTGCCAGAATGGCCGAAGCCACCACCTTAAATACCATCTTCAGCTAAAGACAAAGGAGGATGTTGGGGGTAGTGATTTGAGACTTCAGAGGGGAGAAAGGCAATTTACATGGAGATAGAAATGTTTGATAAACCAATGTTTGCTGGGCCATCTATAGACAATGTGACCCGAGAGACAGAACTTGAATAAAACTGGGCTTAGCAAGGACCCTCCCAGTGTACCTATACCCAGAGTTATCTACAGTGATGGCCTGTCCTGGGGACAGGCCTTCCATCTTAAATTCTTTTAGGCAGTTAGGAGGAAGATCAAAGTTTCTTTCAGAGTCTTTTGTTCTTAAAAATAATCAAGCCAAAGAGACACATTTTGGGGTGGCCAATTCTGATCCTCCACAACATGAATAACAACGACGACTACTACTACTGCTATTACCGTTTTCTGAGCACCTACTTTACAGCAGAGCTGTGTTACGTGCTATCCATCTTTCTGCCTTCAGTCCTGACTACCCCCCTCCCACAATCCAAAGTAAGTGTTCAAATCAAGTTACATTATCTACTCCCTGCTTAAGATCCATGGGCTCACAGTTAAAGTTTAGGCTGCTTAGCAGGACACACAAGGCTGCCTTCTTGCTTGTTCCAGCTTTATGCTTGCATGCGCCCTACAGGCCTTCCACAGCCATGTTGACCTATTCCTGCAACTGGTAAGAAAAACTCGTGTTCCCTTTGTGCACTCCCTTCCCCAACAGATCACATCTTTCCTTCCTGTTTTTCTGCTGTATTTTGTCCACGTTTATACTATACCACTTTTCATCCCACACTGCATGCGTTTCTTATCTTTCCCTCTGACTGGACTTTGAAGCCTCTGTGGTACAACTGTGTCTTCTTCATCTTAAAATTCACTTTGTTTATTCACTCATTTAGTCAACATATTTATTTAGTATCTACTTGATACTGGGCTCTGGGGAGTCAGTAATATTTGATTCCTTCGAAGAGTTTCCACTCTAATAGAGCCTCAGCACCAACTACCTACAGCCAGCAGGCACTTAATAAGTGAATAAACGAATGAATTAACTTGTTCCTAGCGCTGGGCAGCCACAATCTCTCCAAAGGGTGACTGTGGACAAAGGCATTTATAGACACTGGTAGAATCATTACCTTCCCTCCTGGCTCTAGTTTTCGTTCAGTAACATCCTTTTACGACAAGGGTTAGCCAACTTTTTCTGTCAGGCCCCAGAGATTAAATATTTTCAGCAGTGTGGGCTACACGGTCATTGTCGCAACTAGTCTGCCTACTCACCCTGTGGCTGTAGTCTAACATTTGAGCGAATGGGGGTGGCTGTGTGCCAACAAAACTCTATGTACAAGGCCTGACATTCGAATTCATTTCATTTAAACGAGTCACGAAATACCACTCTTCTGATTTTTTTCCAACCATTCAAAATGTAAAACGTTCTGAGCTTGTGGGCCCTAACAGGCGGCGGGCGAGATTTGCCCTCAGGCCGCAGTTTGCGGGCATGTTTTAGAAAGTTCCTAATTGTAAAAAACATATATTTATATCAAATACACACAGACTATTCTCGTGGACAACCATCTCCGCCTCAGGTTGGGTGGACAGGCAAACGCTCAGCGAGCACTGTTCATCGACACATCGGCTTCTGCCCCACGGCCGAAGGCCTTCCTCCGGGGCCCAGGCGCCGTACGGACGGCGCACCACGGGGCGCGATCCCGCGAGCATCCGCGCCCGCCCCTCCCCCGCGCGCCCGCTCGGCTTCCGGGTGCGGGGC